CCTCCTGGGTAAGTGAGTGAGAGTGAAAGTTTAAAGCTTGAATCAATGAGAGCAGGCGAGAGGGGTAGACCACAGGAGAGCGGTGAGACTGACACAATTCACGGGTCAATGAAGGAAAGAAATGGAGGGAGAAGAGCGAGAAAGAAGTGGATGGGAAGAAGAGAGACGACAAGGGCAACGGGAAGGTGTCGGAGCTGCAGGTTTGACGGAGCTACAAGGCGGTATGATGGATGCAGGTAAAAAAAAAAAAAGCTTTTTTTTTTTCCCAGGAAGCCACCGCTTAAGCTGTCTGGTTCACGTGAGTCACAACCCGTCACAGCACACACACTCATCCTCCACTGTGATGATCACACACACACCAGTTCAGCTCGCAAACATTAATCACTGCTACTGTCTAGAGGGGAATCCAGCGGTGTATTTCCCTCAGGGCAGCAGTTCTTCTACTGTTTCAGCTCAGCACCCTCGCTGGGTAAATGTAGTTTCTCACCCTGAGACGTGAAAGTCTACCATCTGAGGGTGTGTTTGGACGAATGTGCTGTGTGAATGTGCTGAGCGTTGGTTGTGTTCCCACTACGATGAGCACAAATGCTATGTGGTGTCTTGAAATACTGAGACAACATATGAGTTTAATATTTTAGTATATTAGAACATCTCAGAGTATTAGTGAGCTCGTGACATTGCAACGACACTTTAAAAAGTCTTTCAGAGCCATGGTTGATCTGCTAACTGGTTTCATGTTTAGGACTGGCACAGCCACCAGTCAGAAATGAGTATATGTTAGAGTCCTCCATCCATCCATCCATCCATCATTTATACACCACTTAATCCTCACTAGGGTCGTGGGGGGCTGGAGTCTATCCCAGCTGACTTAGGGTGAAGGCAGGAGACACCTGGACAGGTCACCAGTCTATCACAGGGCTACATTTAGAGACAGACAACCAAGCACACTCACATTCACACCTACAGACAATTTAGAATCACCAATTAACTTCAACATGTTTTAGGACTGTTTGGGAGGAAGCCGGAGTACCCACACTGCCCTGGGAGAACATGGAGACTGACTCCACGCAGAAAGATCTCAGGTGTCCCCACCGGGACGAGAACCGGCGACCTTCTTGCTGCGAGGCAACGGTGCCGCACACAAACCAGCTTTTGTTAATTTTGAGTTGTGTTCAGAGACCCACAGAATAAGGGAGAGAAGACTTCCCCTGTTTCTTTTGTTTTTCCATAGATCAGAAAGTGTGACTTTGAACAAGTCAGTTGTGATGTCACAACAGGGTAAGCCCCGCCCCCTTCTGGCTTCTGCTCCCCCTTTGGGCTCCTCGCTGATGCTCACTGTGTTGTGGCTGATAAAGCTGCAGCTTTAAATCCAGCTGAGCTGCTGTTGCCTTTGCCCTTCAGGGGAAGAGGGCATTCTGAAGACATGTGAGGCTTAGATTAACTTGTTAAAATGGGGCATCAAATTGGACCTTAAAGGTTTGACAGCAGAGCTTCCAGTGAGCTACCAGTATAGCATGACAAAGTTTTTAAAAACTGCAACTCAGTGAAAAACTAGGACAACGTGAATACTTACGTAATCAGATGCATTTCATATTTCGTGTTAGTCATGTGTCATTGTTTTACAGCATTTGCAGTAACAATGCAGTTTGGATAAGGGTGCATGCTATAGTGTTTAACTCACCCACACACATATATATATACATCTTCAGGGTTAAAGTTGTAGGCTTCATGCTAATGCTTTTGTCAAAATGCAATTGATTTTGCTCAAAAATTCTACTAATGATCACTTTCCTGATTTCTTGCGTACGCTGTGCAGCTCTTTCTCTCTGCTTTGTTGTGCGTACGTACAAATGTGGAAATACCCTCACACACACCACATTTATCTTCTACAGTGATATGTTAAAATCCTGCAAAACAGAGCCCCGTCTAACCACATTTGCAATCTGCAACATGGAATTTGCAACAGGAACTCATCCTTCCTACTATCAATTTCGACATGTGACACAAATCCAAACAAACACCGCACTTAAGACCCGAGCAAACGCCGCTATTTGTGATCTGCGTGTCACGACGAGTGCAGACTGCAAGAATTGTGCTGTGATTATCTTGTCTGGGATGAATTTGAGACAAAAAAAAAAATTCTCAAGTCAGCAAAGGAAAAGATGTTACAGGTTTCAAACATGTAGTGAACATCTGCAGTCGGCATCTTGAATAGAAATCTGAGACAAGAGATGAGCTCCGTGTAATGAAAGTACGTCAGGAAACAAGGCAGGAAATGAAGGTTAAAGGTGGATGCACACACACACAAAGCCAGTAATGATGATCTATTAGAGAATAGTATGATATGAATCTGTACTTGGCTCCATTTCACTGAGTGTGAAACAGCCTCTAGAGTTACATTCTTTTTTACTCTTGAACATGATAAATATTATTATTGCTCATCAGTGGTGCTGGTCATAAGTTTCTCTTCATGAGCTGATGTACCTTTTTTTGTTTTTTTTTTACTGCGTCACGCTTCAAACAGTCATTTTCGGCTGCCATCCACCTCGAGTGGATCACGGAGAGACTGTGAGCACGACTCTTACTGTCTGATTCTGGGAGCCTCGCTGTCCACACACTTGCGAAAATACGTGTGCATCTGTTGTTTGACAAGTAAATGGAACCCTCTCACTCTGTCTCAGCAACAAATAGACCATATATTCCAGGGCTCTCGCCTCCTCGCTGACCAGACTTCCTTCTCAGCGCTAATAGTCCATCAGTCTTCAGCCTCTGCTCTCTTTCTGTCACCGCGCTCTTTTTCCTCCACGCTTTCTCTTGACCTTCCTCTGCTCCCAGCCTCTTGTACCAGACTGTGCCTCTCCTTCGCAGCTACAGTGTACATTAAACGCCGCAGCCTCCGCTATTGTTTCCTTTCCTTTGTTTTTCTCCATTTACCGTCCTCCCTCACTTACTCATCATTTCTTCATCTCTACTGCGCTATTAAACCCTCGCTGTACTGCAACATGCAGGTCCAGGCTTAACGCCGACCTGACAAACACATCCTGTTTAAGTTTCATATTATGTCATGTGCCACAGATTTCAGAACTGAACTTATATGATAGTTCTGATTTAAGATGTTTCATATTTGCTGCAAGTGGAAAACAACACGTTTATGGTGTGGATCATACTCTGTATATGTCATGTGGACTACGAGGAACAAAAGGATCTCATTTCAAGAGCTTCAAAAAAAAAAGATCTAAAGATTGTGAACCTGAAGATGGAAAGTGCTGCAAAACTTTCAGTGCTGCTAGTTGTTGTAGTTGTTGTTATGGTGGTGGTGGTGTCGTTTCCCACAGCAAAGCAACATGCAGATAGCAGAAGGACAGCAAACAGCCAACTGAAATGAGCAGCTAATGGCAGGCTTTGACCTGCATTCAACATCCGGTGAGTCAAACTATTCTTTATTTGCTGTTTCAGGTGAAACTAATTAAATACGCCTAAAATGTATGATTTTCTTTTTTTTTTGGAAGCATGCATGGTTTTAAATATGTTCATGTTCAACAGAATAATCAGGGAGGCATCACAGTTTTTTCAAATATATTTGAACTTTGGATTTAACGCCCAAATCCCCATTGATTCTTATTGTAACCCATGACGTTTACTGCGTATTTCACTCATGATGTGTCTTCTAGCGTATAAGAAACCTCATGTGGACGTGGTAACAGGGTGAGTCACTTGATTATCATCAGATGGGGTCTTCAAAAAATGACCTATTTATTCAATTTCTTGGCAAGCAATCTCTTGAGGGCAACTAATGACTGTCTTCTTGGTATCAAATGTAGCTACTAATAGTAATAGACAAGCCATAAATTGCACCGCGCTAGGTGTGACTTCAACTTTATGACTCATCTGCTGCTCTTAGTAGATCGCAGTTAACCACATAAGCCATTGCTTTTCAACTTGACCGAGGAGATTTTTACTTCTGAAATGTATGTAGGTCATAGGAATG